TACTGGCTGCTCTTCCCAAAGGCATGGACTGGCTGCCAGCCAACCTCATTAACATGCTTTTATTTTGTTTTTAATTTAAGTTCCCAGAAGCAATCTTACAGACATAACTGGGGGTCTTTCTGGTCCATGAAGGGTCAGGTACCTCAGTCCATCTTTACAGCAGTTGATGGGAAAGGTGCTGGTGATGGACTTTGTGGCTCCGTTCCCATGTGTTTCACACTGCACCCAGGCACCAGACTTGGTGTTTCAGATCCTGTAGGTGTCTGCAGGTGTGAGGTTTGTGCAGGACATGATGCATATGCTTCAAGCTCACATCTGCGCTGTGTGCAGGTGTAAAAGCAGTGTCTGCATGGAGGGCAGGTTAACCATCAGCATGGGAGCTACAACTCGGGATTTACGGCTTAGCTGGGATGATGTGTGCAGCTTTGCTTGTCACTGGTGTCTCCCTAGCACCCACCAATTTGCATCACTGTGATGAGTGGTCTTCAGGCTGCCACAAGTAATGGTGGTCATGATGTGAAGGTGGATGGGCTGGGTGAAGACCTGCCATGCTGTACTGTCTCAGTGTCTCCTGAAGGCCCCTGAGATAAAAGGAGACTTGGGATGGCTGGATTCATGGGTCTGTTTAGCCCCAACACAAGCATGAAAGAGATTCTGCTAGGGAATGAGTCTGTCCATGGGATATGTGTTTCCCGTCACTTCCTTTCCTTGAAGTTAAGTGAAAGCTCTTCTGGTTTCTGCCATTCATCTGTTTGAAGGAAGGATGCTCAAATGCTGTCTAATCCCAGATCTAGCCAGGGACACAGAGTAGATTCCTATTCTGCCTTTAGAGGAAAATTCCAACTTTGCCCTCTTTCAGGATCATCAGAAGCAGAGATACTTTGAGGTAACAGCTTTAAGGACTTTCCAGATCTTTGCTGTGGTTAATGGCCTTTCCTCTACAGCTTATTTTATTTCTCATTTCCTTTGAGCTGATGTCACACGTTTCCTCTTCTCTAGTGACTCTGCAGTCATGCTGCAGTTGCTCCCATTCTGGTGTCCTGTTCTTGAGAGCTGCCTGCATGGAGACCTTCCAGCCCCAGGTCAGAGAAAATAACACTTGGAAGAAGACCGAGCATCCTCAGTAAAACACGCATCACTGCTCTACTAAAGCTGAAGATGGACGTATCGTGCTGAATCCTTTAGACTGTGGTAAGCAGAAAATATACTTTACTAGCATTATTCCTCTTGGAATATACTTTTGCTGATGGCACAGCTTGTGTTAGCGTGGTCTTTGCACCTTGCAACCATGAGCCAGTAAATCCTTATTGGGAGAGCATGGCCCATGGCAGAGAGTACAGACTGGGAGCAGAGTCCACAGTTGCCCCGACCATGCTCTGCTGCACAGCTGGTTACTTCCAGCTCTAGTTCTGCATACAGTGAAGTTGATGATATAAACCACTTGGGCTTATCAACTGGTGTGCTAGTGTACAAGGTAGTGGCCTGGGTTAGAATTGCCAGGGATTTTGGTAATGCAGTGTAGCCTGCTGCAGCAGGGAACCAGACCCACACCGCCAGCCTGCACCCTGACCACTGTGCCTGTTCTCCTTTCTGCTGGCACAGAAAACATCTACGTGTTTTATAAAAAGGGTAACTGCTTCATCAGGAGAGGCTGACTGAGATCACCCGTATGGCACTCCAGAGTCTAGGGCTCAGGACATCTCACAAGGATATGGGAGATGTGAACTCGAGTTCCTCAGGCTGAAGACGGAAGAGGCTATTGAGTAAATTTAGTGGGGAATGGTGCCATGCTCTCTTCAAGATGTGTTTTGTAGAGTATCCAGCTTGACAAGAAGGGAAAAACAGCTCTCTTGTGATTCCCTGAAGGACCTTGGCATTGGCACTGCACAGCCTACTAATGCAAAGACAGATGAGCTCTACCAAGTGCTGTTGGGGCCAGAGATGGCATTGCCAACTCCCACAGCCCACCTTTGCCAGAGATTTCTAGCAGGCTTAATGTAGAGCATGTCCTTGCATTCATCTTTCCAGGTCAGAGCGCAGCTCCTTAGCTCAAACCCATCTTCTGTTCAGGGCTTCACAATGGAGGGGGACGTGCATGTTTGTTCTCCCTTCCACCCCATCTGCTAAATCTGACAGCTGATGGGCAGGCCTGGAGACCCCACCAGTAAAGTTCACCAGAGCTCTTGGGCAAAGTTTGGAGGCTGCCATGCCCACATACAGCACCAGAAATGGAGGGGTAGATGGACAGTGCCCCACAGCACAGCCTAAAGAGACTTTGTGAGTAACAGTTACGCCTATGCATTGGATGTGGGCACTTCTCTCCTCCTCATGAATTCTGCTGGTGGGATGCATCACCTTTTTTTTTCCCCCCGCTCTTAGCATATTCAGGTCTGGTGCTACAATGATAGAGCACCTTTCATTGCAAAAATTCCAGCCCCAGGCACCAGAACTATTTGCTGAAGTTGGCAGATAGTCAAAACAGTAGGTTTATGATGCAGATTTGAAAAAAAATTAAGTTCTCTAATGATTTTAGGTAATTAGGACTTTTTCTTATTCTAACATCAGAATAGCGTATCAAACACAAAGCTCCCCACTAGTTTCTCTTGCCCCTGCACAGCCTCACTCCTTCCCTCAATGTCTGCATCTGCTAGGTGCCCTCCTAAGCTGAGAGATGCAACCCCTTCCAACTGGCGTATGTCCGTACCAGAGACGGTCCGTCAGTGGGTGGGACAGCTAGGCTTAGACATGGACATTTATTTAAGGACATATTGTGACAATTACCACTTTACATACATAGTTGAGGGTGTGGAAACAGATCCATGAGATGACCAGTAGGCCTTGTCTTTGGTTCTGCATGAATCAAAGGTAGAAGAGGGAGCAGAGTGTGGGCCCCTGTCTGCTCTGGGACCTCTCCGCAGGGCAGCAGGGAGTAACACGTTACTTCTCAGGGATGTGCCAGACCTCTGTGGCCAGACCCTGAGGTGTCATAGCCCAGACCATACTCACCCCCTGGCTACTGACATCTGAATCAGTTACTACCCTTTAGAGATCTGTGGGTTCTCAGCAAGGTGGCAGAAATCAAGGTGAACAAGCTACTTGTTAATTCACATGGAACATGGCTGAAAGATTGAGTTTAAAGACACTCAAACCCCAGTGCTGCCCAGCATGCAGCAGCCTGTGAAGGTCCAAGGACAAGTTGTGGATATCTGTAGATGTCATGTCCTTAGGGGATCTGTGAGGGGTGAGGAGGGACAGGCTCAGGAACATGACTATTGCCTTCCTCTCCTAACAACTGGAAAGAAGTATCAAGGGGTTTGCAGAGTTTTCTGAAGAAAAGGAGAGCTTTCTTGGGCTAGACCTGACTTCCACATTTGCAGAGGAAAATTGCAGATGTGCAAATGTGTAAATGAGGAAGTAACAGCACCCGGGCACAAAGACAGACTCAGCCCAGTGAGGTCCTGCCACTGTACGCTGCTGGGGAAGATCCAGAAAGCTTTGAGGCAGGAGGGCGCCTTCTCAGGAGGCAGCAAGTCTTTGGGGGAAAATGCTTGTCTTCCATGGGGCTGGCAGGGCTGAGTCAAGCACATGACAATGTTCAGCACCCCGCATTCCCATCATAACTCACACAAGAAGTTTAGGCTTTGTGACTGGTGCTATAGTTTACTCGCTCTCAAGAAAAACCACCACGTTCTGCAAATTAGGTTAAAAGCCCAACAAGTTTACCATCAGCGAGCAACCTAGCATCCTTGCCGGTGGCTCTCAAACTGCTTTACATGCATTAGTCAGTTATCTTCCCATGAAGGAAGAGGCAGAGAAAAACAAGCAGACCTGCAGCATTTTGTCATGGATTGGTGAGTGCCTGCCCAGTGTCCAACAGGGAGTTGGTGCTAGAGCCAAGAACAGGCGTGTATGTCCTCTGGATGGTAAAAGCAGCAGGTTAAAGTATACAAGGGATTAGACCGAATCCATGTAAATCTGAGACAAGAACATATACAGTGTTGATGATGCAGGAATTTGGTATGTCCGAACTGTATGCAAGATTTGAAGAAATACTAGCTGAGGTGGGAACTGATAATATTAAAAACCTGAATGCATCTCCTTAGGGACAGTGTTTGTCAGCAGCCTCACCAGCGACACAGGAAAGTACAGAATTGCTGCTGCTGACCACTTGCATTTGACGCAGAAATGGTAGCGGGGGGCGGGCGTGGAAAAGGGAGCCAGATTGGTTTGATGACAACTTGAATTCAAAATGATGGCATGATAGACAACAGCCAGGATTTTTACAGAGATAAACTGTAGTTAAAAATCAACAATGTACCACAAAACATTGCCCTTTAGGATTAGTGACTCATCTTTTACATCATTCACTGAGTAAAAAAATTGAGAGGTCTGGTAGCCTATGAAGTGAATGTGAAATCTTACGGTGCCTGCAACTAAGAAAACAAACACAGTCTTTACAAGCGTAAGCAGGAAAACATAAGAAAACAAGTAGAGGGCAACTCTGGAAATGGCACTAGTGAGACATTTCTACCAGATACTGTTTCATTTCTTGATTTTCTAGCTTAAAATAAATGTAGGCAAGTTAGAAAGCATTAGGAACCAGAGGGAATAAAAGAGACCCAGAAAACCTGTTTGCTTATAGTAAAAGATTAAGAAGCTTCAGACAGAGTAACAGATTTTATCTAAGAACCCTTATGCAGAAAAGTGTTTAGAGATCCGTCATCTGAGATCTGCACTGCAGCAAACAACACTGGATGAAGACACAAAGGCTAGTGTGGTGTGGAAATGGGATCAGAGATGACCAAGGGGACAGGGCAGGTGCCTGTGGCTGGAGTCAAGGCATGAAGCAGAACTCCTGTGGTCACAGACAGCTGAAAATGAAAGGTTTCGGCTTAGCAATGGCACCATACCAATCAGCTAATTTTATGCTTTATATTTTTAGGTAAGAAGAAAAGCTACGGCAGGAAATTTCGCTTCAGACGTGCCTACTCAGCACCACAATGTCTGGAAAGGGTAAAGGTGGTGCTGAAGGTAGTGCTGATTCCTACATTTCATGCCACATAGACTCTGAGTTTCGCTACAACCTCTTTACTGTTTTCTACAGCATCATTTTCATTCTGGGCTTTATTGCCAACTGCTATGTGCTCTGGATTTTCAGCCGTATTTACCCCACCAAGAAACTCAATGAAATCAAGATATTCATGGTGAACCTGACAGTAGCTGACCTGCTCTTCTTAGTCACGATGCCAATGTGGATTGTTTACTATCACCACCATGGAGACTGGATCATGCCTGAATTCCTCTGTAATGTGGCTGGCTGTTTATTTTTTGTTAACACCTACTCTTCTGTTGCCTTTCTGATGGTCATTACGTACAACCGTTACCAAGCTGTGACTAATCCCATTAAAGCTGCTCAGTTTACCACCCAGAGAAGGGGTATCTACTTATCAGCAGCTATCTGGATCATAATAGCAGGCAGCTCTTTGTATTACCTTTTTGACAAGAATACTAATCGGGAGGAGATCGACTCGAAGAATTTCACACGGTGCTTTGAGCGCTATAGCAATTCTAGCAATGTTTCAGCTGTTCTCGCCATTCACGTCATCATTTGCATCCTCTTCTATATCATTTTCCTTTTTATACTAGGCTGGAACATCATCATTATCAGGACCCTGTTCTCCAAATCAGTACAGCCACGGAAGAGTGCTCACGTCAAGCAAAGGGCGCTCTGGATGGTTTGCACAGTGCTGGCTGTTTTCGTCATAAGCTTTGTACCTCATCACATAGTGCACCTGCCCTGGACCTTGACTGTTCTGGAGCAGTGGAAGAAGGAAAACTGTCAGTTGCGACAACAACTCAACGATGCTCACCAGGTGACTTTGTGCCTCTTGAGTACAAACTGTGTGCTGGACCCTATCATCTACTGCTTCCTCACCAAGAAATTCCAGAAGCACCTTTCAGAAAACCTGAAAAGCATGAAAGGGAGTCGCAAGTGCTCCAGGCAAACCACAGACACAGTGATTGAGGGCACCATTCACCAAGAGGAAGCCATTAGGATCTAGTTCAGCCCTGTTCTGATTGCAGATGGAGATGTGTGAATTAGTCACTCATCTTTTCTCAAGAAGAGGCACCAAGGGACACAACAGAGGACCAGGGTATTACATTTCCTTTTCTCCATTAGACAGAAGAATGGACACTCATTTCTTCTATCACATGCAACTGGCAGAACTGGAACTCGGGTTCTGTCTGGGCTGATGTTCTTATGGGCACTGAGAACAGCTCAAATGATCTGCTTTTACGTGAAAGAAATCTATCGAGTCTCTGCAGTGAGCAGCTAGAAGCTAAGTGCACTGCAATTATCCACCGTGTCAGCCCAGATAGCACCGTCCCTGGTCCTTTGCCTGCCCAGCTCCCACAAAGAAGCCAGTATCAGAGCTGCAAGAGACTTGGAAGAACAGACTGAGCTGCTAGTAGCATCAAGTGACTTTTCTAAGCAGCTTGCTTGGTTCTGTGAAGAGAGTCTGAGCTGAAGAAACTCTTGAGTGGCTACCAGGGATGTAGTCCAAGGAGTTCCTCAAATGCCATCAAAGAAGCGATCTGCACCTCTGATCCTTTCTTACCTACTCGCATGGTTTGCTGGGGTCCATACTTGACAGATGTCTGGGCGTAGCTACCATGAACTTTTGCCTTTGCTCCCAGCTCCTTAGTCAGTCAAGTAACTGGACTAGTAGGCAAGAAAAGGAAGAGAAATTGGCAGTGCCTCAGCCCCGAGATCAGCATTATGTCCAAAGCAGACTATCGTCTGCCCTGGCTTCTTGTACGATAGCAGAACTGGCAAACCAGTGGCCTCTTGAAATCAAATTTTTGGCTGACTGCACATGTCTGTGGAAATCCAATCTTACGTTGGAGGCTCCAGACAACAGAAGATTATTGTCAGCATGGGCATTACGATAAGAAGAAAAAAAGCTTGAAATGCTTCAGTATCTTTGTTCTTATTTATTTAAATTAGGGTTGTAGCAAGCAACTGTAGATTATTCCTTCCCCCAACCTTTCTATTTCTGCTATGAAGAAATGAAGCTGACTAGTTCTTGATATCCTACCACAAGTGAAGTATTAGGTCAGGTCGTGGCCACTTTCTGAGTAAACCAGTGCTGCACAGTGATACAGTACACTTGACAGACATGTAATTCACACGCTCCGACAAGACTGGAGATTCCTCACTCAGGGCTGGCTGCAGTCAGTTGGAGCCCAGGGCAAAGTGGTTTGCCAGGGGTGCCGAGTTCCGTTGTCAATCATGAGACACTTCAGGTTCCTTTTCTGATCCAAATTGCTCAATCCAGCACAGGAAATTGGGCAGGGCAGGGAACTTACTTGTTTTCACAGCAGTTTTTGGTTCCCTAAATTACATAGGAGAGTCTGGCTGATGACAGGAAAAGTGTATATCTGACCTGTGACACTGATTAGTCATATGCAAGGACAGCAGCCTTCCTACACCCACCAGAGAATGTGAAAGACAAGCTCAAGTCTTTCCAAAGATACGACCAACATTTGTATCAGACTTTGCCTATATTCAGTGGAGATACAGGTCCTTCAGATATATCTCCTGAAGATCCTCAGCTTTTATGTTTACTTGTGCAAATGAGCAAAAGAACTACAACATCTCTTTTTCTAATGCCATGTACTCCAGGCTCAGTGCCAGGCAGAGGAAAGACTCTGATCACAATGTGAATGCCATCTCCCTCCTGGTCCTGGACTCAGCTCCAGTAATGGCCACCCAGAAAAAACACCTGCTGGCACCTCTTAGCAGAGAGCTAATTCCCTGACTATGTCCCTCAGCCACATTCAAAGCTTTGCCCTGAATCTGCAGTCATCCAAGTCACAGCACACAGCAAGGGGGGCAATTTCTGTAATTTAAAAGCCTAAATCCTGCTGGCTGGAGGAATCTGCCTCTGTATTTCTGCCCTCCCCAGATGGCATGTTCTGGCTGAGGAGCTTTTGCAGCTGGGAGACAGTGTGCAGCTTTCCTCTTTTCCGTTTGCCACCCGATGCAATAGCAGAGCTCTCTTGCTTCACAGCCCCTAAAGCACTGAACAGATGGAGTTTGCCAAGTCTTAGAGGAAATGGAAAGGGATTTTACGTGGAGATCTGGTAAATGCTGATCTTCTATTGATTCCTGGAAAGCTTGCAACAGAGTTTACAGTTTAGGCTACTTAAGGTGGGTAAATAACATGTTTTACTCCACAGAAAACAGCTGTAAGGCCAGTGTGGGCTCAGAGAACAAATGTAAACTTGCATCTAAGGAAAAGGGTAAGTGAAGGAAAAAGCCCTGAGGACACTTTGGGAGGACAGGTTGCAGTAATTAAGTCAGTAACAATGCATTTCTAAAAACCAGTCTGAGCTTCTACTTCTGTTCCTGGAACTACCTTCTCGGTTTTACAGCAATGTTGCGTTACTCTGCTTTGCTTTGCAATAAAATGGATCCTCAAAAGTTCTTATAAATAAAGCATGTTCCCCAAGTGTTACGTCTTTAACTTCTCCCACCTTCTCATCTTTCTGTATTTATACTCAAGAGGAAAGGGTCGGTGCCACGCTGACACAGCTTGAATTTGATGTGGGTTTTTTTTTTCAAATCACCACGTGAACTCTTGGGAGAGGTGAAGTTAAAGGCTCAGCAAGTTTTGACTGCCAAAAGAGAAGGGGAAAGAAATCATTTCAGAAAGGAAACAACTTCTGAAAAATCTGCTAGAGATCCCCAAAACCCAACCAGACAAAAACCCCCAAACTCTCTGACTTGCACACACGGGAAATTTCCTATAGACACCCCATCATGCGGCTTTGACACTCCGGCTAAGAAGTGACAAACTATTTTAAATAACTTGCATTGCAACACCTACAGCAATAAGACAGCAAACTAGAAAGACGACCCTATAAACGCAACAAAGACCAAACTCAGAAGCAAGGCAGCAGCGGCGACGCCCA